CCCCCAGTGGCTGAAAGCAGAGAGAGTTGTATGAATGCAACTTTTGTGACCAAGCTTTGGGTTCTCCTATGCTTCATTTTACTGATTCTGCAGGATATAAAGCACGGAAATTTAATCTACCTTGCTGGCCAGAACAGCAGGTTCTGCAGAACAGTGAAATGGCCTTCTAACCACCAAGGCTGGGAATCTTCCCAAATCAACCTCTGACATCCCCGGGACCTCAGGCAGGGTGCCGCATAGCCGCAAGCTTCATTTTAGGGTCCTAAGTCCCAACGCTTTTTCTCGCGCAAAAGAAAACAGGAGTTGCTCAGGAAGTCACTGTTTCCCACAATTCCACATTCTCTGTTGCTGCTGCTGCCCCTGTTTTTCCTTGGGTTTTGTACATTATGTAGAATCGTGCAGGTGGCGTCCACCTGGGGTTGCTGGAGACACACGTCTGCTGTCCCAGTTTGAAGACTAGGATAAGCAGTCTTCACACTGTCCCAGTTTGACATCTGGGGTCACCAGATTATGTGAGGTTGGGCTGGATGAACGTTGCAAAGTTTCAGAGCTGCCCGTCTTCCAAATCTTTTCACCTGGTATCTTCCTCCTAAGCCAGGCACTCACTCCCTGGCCGCTGCTCACAGGACCCGCTCATGCCCCTTCAGAGACAGTCAGGAGATTTTATCAGTAGATGGTATGTTTTGGAAGTCTGTGTTTTTAACCAGGGCATCAGCTTCTTTGAGAGTAGAAAATAGCAAGCAAGGTTTATTTCAGAGGTGCAGGTAGAGTTTCTTCTTGGAGGCATGGCTGGTGGAACCACCACCAGGAGCTCCCTCTCTTCAAAATCTTCTACTCGTCAGAAATTTAGAGCAGCCAAGTTTGAAGCTGGCCCTGCCCAGGTCTTCTTCATAGAAGCCTAAGAGGCTACTCTACGCAATGCTTCTACAAGCTATTTTCAGTCCTCGCAGAAGCCCTCCAGGGGAGCTGGCATCTCCTGCTATGCTTTTTCTGGCAAGTAAGAAGCCTCATTCAAGAATCTGACCCAATTAGCGGTCCATATCAGGGTCAGTGGGACATGGGTTGAAGAGGCCGCTGCTTTATGGACTGTCAACTGCTTTGATGAATGGCTTTGGAGCTTCTTCCCCAAACACATCTCTTGGGAAGCAGTGATCACTCACAGTGTGCCTCCGCAGCTGTTTCGCCAGACCCTTGTGGCAAACGGCTGTTCCACCTTGCACCTGGTTGGGTGGTGAGGATGCAAGTCAAACCCATACGCCAGGCTCTTCCGGGGAAGGCAGGGTCATTGCAGAAAGGGCTCACACGCAAGGTAGCGAAGGGTTCCTTCTACGGCGCCAGGAGAGTCACTGTAGCTCCAAGGAAGACTGCCCACCGAGTCTGCAGGACGTCCCAGGTTCACAGTCTCTGGGTTCTCGTGATTTCTGATTGACAAGCCAGCACAAATGTCCCTGAAAACTAAACTACTTGCAATTCCCCCCGACACGGCAAAAGTCTCAATATGAATTTTTAAGGGATACTGTAGAAATAGAAATAATCTCCTTAATTAATTTGGGTCGAGGCCTGGAAAATCACAGCCACTTGCTCAGGGATGAAAAGCTTTGCAGGGTCCTCCTAGTAAAAAGCCAAGCATGATCTCCTGCCAACTGATCCCCAGGGGATCCACAAGGTGTGGTCAAAAAGGTCCAGATGGTGGCATGAAAAGGGCTCTGTCCAAGCGGGTCCCAAGCTGGCAAGGGCAAGCAGATTCCTCCACTTTGCAGGCGTGATCTGCCTGCTTCTGTCCTCTAGCCTACGCTCACCAAACTGCCAAATTCAGCAATACGGAGCGCAAGAGACAAGGGAGGCGAGATCCCGCTCTGCGGCTCTCAGCCTCCGGGCATCGTCGTGGCTTCTCCCCCGCGCTCCCCAGACCTCTTCCCCTCCCTGCTGGACCGGCTTCTAAGCAAGCAACAGCTGTACAGTCGCTCTCCCTTCTTCAGGCCGTGTTGCAGCAAGAACTGGCCAAGATCCCAGCTGGGCCCCTGCTTGGGAAAACAGCCCTCAAGTTCCGCTGGGCTTTGTTCGAAAGACAATGGATTTGCAGTGAGCCCTCGGAAAGCCACGCAAGGAAAGCAGAGCGCGTCCCGCGGCTGAAGTTCTGGCCCTGAAGGGGAAGCCCCCCGAGGAACCAGGGAGCAGTCCGGAGGGGGGCGTCAGGAGACGGGAAGGGGAGAGGTGGCGCTTCGGGGCTGCCCCTCTGCTTTCTCCCACCACTACCTTTAAAGGCACAATTGCCTTGTACTCCAAAATCAGGTGAGGCCAAGACAAACACTGCATTTAGTTTTATTTGCTGCACACACACAATATAATCAATCACGTATTTAATAGCTTCTTCCTTCTTCAAACTAGATCTCTGGGAAACACACCCAAAGCTTTCAGGAGTGCACACAGCCAGAGGGCTTCTGGTTCTGCCACCCCCCTTTCTCTTTCACTGTTTTCATAGTGTCAGGCCTAAAGCTGCCTTTTTGCTGCCAAGCCAGATCCTTGGTGTATTTTTGCACCGCGTTGCTTCATCTGCCTGGATGTGGCTTTTCAGGGCTTCAGAGGCAACCGTGCTTTTCCCAGCTCTGCTGTCCAAGAAATTTTGCAACATGAAGACATTCGCCCGGAACCTTTGGGATGTGCGGCATCCTCTCTGTGGTCGAAACACGCTGCCTCCCTTCCCCAGCCCCACTCTGGAGGGTTTGCCATCCTAGACTCCTCTGAATGAAGTCAGAACTGGCTGTTTGCAGCAGAGGCCCATCCCCTCTGCCTTTTCCCGAGCCATCCTGGAGACGTTTTGAACCTATTCCTTGGGATGCTCAAGAGCGTTTCTGCCTGTTCTGCTCACGCAATTGCCTTATATGGGGAGGACACCCTTGGTATGCAAG